TTGGGAAAGGTATGTGGGGTTGTCCAAGGTTCCGACTGCCCTTATGGCGACTATACACCGGTCAAGCATTTTCATTTCGATGAAGTTGTTATGATGACCAGAATGTTCCTCATCCCAGTAGTGAAATCCCAAACAGCATCCAGCGATAATACTGTAAGTGTAGACATCCAGCTAGCTATAGGTAGAGCTAGTATAACGCATTTCCCTACAACACGAGTCGAGGCTGCGAGTTGAGGGTAAGAAGACTGGTTTATTGATCACTCATGCACTGCTTAAATACATATTTTCAGGCCAGGAACACCCCTCTGGACCTGATGGTACACAGGATGACAAAGAGCAACAACCAATGGGGACAAAGTGCATCTTTTCAAACCCTCCCTTCTAGCCTGGAGATAATTAGTTCCAACAGGTACAGTAACTCAATTATCTCCAGGCACATGTAATAATATAACTTTTATGGATACATGAAAACTGAATAAAAATACATAACTTATACACCATAGTCTTTAGTTGTCACATTAAACCCATCCCCAGACAGCTTGGATGTGAGATATGATATGAAAAGCACTCACATCTAAGGAACGGTATGGGAACGCCATGGGGATATAGATTGTCTTGAGGGCTGTTCGGCAGTTATCAGCCCAGGGATCCTCGGCCATAGTGTCCTGCAAGGGGTCAGTGTGCTCTACGTAGTATAAAAGTGCCGAACGGCATGATCTAAGGTGTTTTATACACGAACGGACGGGGCATGATAAATCCTAACGGGGTTCGTATGTAATAGTATCCGAAAAGAGTACCAGGCATTTGACGACCAGGTCCCGCTAGGCGTTCTGTATTAAAAGATGACCGCCGCTACATATTCATGCAGGAGCTGTGGTTTTGTGCTTAACTGCAGCCTAATTGACTGTCCACAGGGTGGTCGTCCTTCGTATGAGAGTGTCGAACTAAATACCGAATAAACTATCGAATGATGACCAAATAATGGTCATTGTGCTTGCGGCTTAATATGGCCACTGCCACGTGTTCAAATGCCAGCCGACCCCTTCGACCCGCTTCGGGAGTTCGAAGTGTCGCTTCGAACCACTTTGGGAGTTCGAAGTGCTGCTTCACAAACAGTGTCTTTAACCATATTTTATACAGGGGCCATAATCACAGGGCAGGAGGCTGGCAAACAGGCCCCTCCAAGAACCAGTAGCAAGGTTCTGTTCGCCACAAACATCATCACCAAACATAAATAAAATGTGTGTGTATATATATATATATATATATATATATATATATATATATTTCAAAACAGTACAATTTATATTAAAAAAATCTCATTTTAAAAATCCTATATAGGAAAAAAATAATAATATAAAAATATCGGTTAGTGTAAACCATCCACAAAAAACAATATTCATATGGCCACCAATGGATAGAGTTCATGTATATGACATTAACATTGCATTCAACCAGAAAAGGTGAAGATGTTGTTAAATACATGAAGTTTAAATCCATATAATGGAGAAATAAAGTTTAAAATGCCGAATTCTAAAAAAATATCTAATTTACAAAAAATGGCTAATTGAAAAAAAGACACAATTTAAAGTCTTTATTCATTCCATATGGGATTAGTGTGTTCAACTCATGTTACATAGTTACATAGCTGAAAAGAGACTTGCGTCCATCAAGTTCAGCCTTCCTCACATTTGTTTTTTGCCGTTGATCCAAAAAAAGGCAAAAAAAAAACCCAGATTGAAGCACAATTTTGCAACAAGCTAGGAAAAAAATTCCTTCTTGACCCCAGAATGGCAGTCCGATTTATCCTTGGATCAAGCAGTTATTACCCTACATTTGCAAGTATGCATCTAGTAGCTGTTTGAACATCTCTATGGACTCTGATAAAACCACTTCTTCAGGCAGAGAATTCCACATCCTGATTGTTCTTACAGTAAAAAAACCTTTCCTTTGCATTAGACGAAATCTTCTTTCTTCCAGTCTAAACGCATGGCCTTGTGTCCTATTTAAAGTCCGGTTTGTGAATAGATTTCCACACTATGGTTTAATTGGCCCCGAATATATTTGTATAATGTTATCATATCCCCTCTCAGGCGACGTTTTTCTAAACTAAATAGGTTTAAATTTGTTAACCTTTCTTCATAGCCGATATGTTCCATTCCTTTTATTAATTTTGTAGCCCGCCTCTGCACTTTTTCTAGTGCCATAATATCCTTCTTTAGAACAGGTGCCCAAAATTGCACAGCATATTCAATATGGGGTCTTACCAGTGATTTATAAAGAGGCAAAATTATATTCTTGTCCCGAGAATGAATGCCCTTTTTCATGCATGACAATACCTTACTGGCCTTGGCCACTGCTGATTGACATTGCACATTGTTGCATAGTTTGTTGTCTATAACAATTCCCAAGTCCTTTTCGTGTGTTGTTATCCCTAATTCGCTTCCATTAAGGGTATACGTTGCTTGTGTATTCTTTACGCCGAAGTGCATAACTTTGCATTTTTCAACATTAAATTTCATCTGCCATTTGAGTGCCCAGTCCCCAGTCTATCTAAATCCCTCTGCAGCAAAGTAATATCTTGCTCACATTGTATTGTTTTACAAAGTTTTGTGTCATCTGCAAACACTGAAACATGACTTTCAATGCGGTCTTCAAGATCATTTATAAACATGTTAAATAGAAGGGGTCCCAGAACAGACCCCTGAGGGACAACACTTGCCACCTCTGTCCAGCTTGAAAATGTACCATTAATGACAACTCTTTGTACTCTGTTTTTAAGCCAATGTTCTACCCAAGAACAAGCATTTTCATCTAGACCGATTTCCTTGAGTTTGAACACTAATCTATTGTGTGGAACTGTATAAAATGCCTTGGCAAAATCCAAATAGATCACATCCACTGCAACACCCTGATCTTTACTTCTACTTACTTCTTCGTAGAACGCAATCAAGTTAGTTTGACATGATCTGTGCTTCATCTGTGCTTCAAACCGTGCTGATTTTTGCTGATAACCATGTTCTTCTCAAAGAATTCTTGAATATTATCCCTAAATAACCTTTCAAATATTTTACCAGCCACAGAAGTTAAGCTCACAAGTCTATATTTTCCAGGCATGTATTTTCTTTATCTCAACCTTCCCCGTTTTCTGGTTAAAGTCACCTTCTCTCCAATCTTGATATATCTTCTGAAGGCCTTTAAAAGGTCACCATTGTTGTGGTCCCTAAAATGGAGTGAGACCTGATGTTTTTAAAATTTTCTTTTAATGTTGTAAATATTCTCACCTATCCTACATAAAATATAACTTTTATTGAATAAATATGAAAAAGGTGTAGCTAAAAACAAATAGGAGAAAAGAGACTCTCTCTAGTGTGGCTCAAACGGACAGGACAGGCTGCAATGGTAAGTACAATAGTAACAGTATGAATACACTGGTAGCACTGTCTAAACAAAAACTCGTGGTGGAAATGAACAGAATCAAGTGGCAGAGTGATATCTTGTTGCCACTTATTGCTTTACAGAGGGAAGAACAATACGAAATTGGAGAGCAAGCCAATTAGTTGCTGCATGAGATTTATTTAGCAGTAATATTGAGCAAAGAAGTAGTCGTAATGCCTAAAGGCACATAGAGAAGAGCACAGGTATCTAGTATTAATTTGTAACGTTAGCATTATTATGCTGAGATATAGTGGTATAGATTAACCAGTTACTCTAGGTGATGAATATTCATTACTGCCGACAATGTTACAGCGTTAATGTGGTATATAATGCTGTTAGTAAAATACTGTCTAGATCTAGCGAGAAGGGAAAATATTAAATACTTTTACAGCTGGTTTATTTAGCCGACCAGTTGCCAACGATATTGCCCCAAATTGTTAGTAAAATAATACATTAAGTAAGGGGTTAATACTTGATAATAGACTGCCACAAAGATGGAGATACCAAAAAGCAGTGGTTTGCAAATGTATAAGCAATTTGCTATATAGACTGCCGAGATGATGGCGGCATGGATAGTAAAATTCTGCCTAGATATAACCAAAGGGAGAAATATTATTACTGCTGGTATATGCAGCCGACCGGTTGTCAGCGATATTGCCCCAAGATGTAGGTGAGATACTACATAAAGCAAGGGGTTAATACTTGGTAATAGATTGCAACAAAGATAGAAAAGCCTGAGGGCAATGCTTTGCAAATATATAAGCAGTTGCTATACAGACTGCCGAGATGATGGCGGCATATTTATTCGTGCTGTTAAACTGGTAAAGTCAAACGGCAGGATGAGAAATAGTTAACTAGTGGTGTTAACTCTCCGCCGATACCGTGACAGCCGTTAAATGAATTATCATAGATGAATAAAAAATGTGTGGTATATGGACAGAAAGAAGTACTGAATTTCCTAAATCTTGTGTCTTCGATGGCACCCCTTATCAAAATGCCTGCTCTAGCCTGCTCCCCCCAGAAAAACAAAAAATAAAGTATATACAAAATAAACAATAGCTAAAGGAATAATGGAGCCAGAGAGTTCACATCCATATTGAGATGCTCCTAATGGCTGGACGTAAATGAACTAAGCATCGGTGAGTCCGCACATGGGTTAGCGGAGAGTGAGAGACCGACACTACTAATATGTCAGACTGTGTCCAGAGCCCCTTGTTTAGCAGAGCTTAATAAAGACCTGGGTACAGGTTGAAACGTTGCGGATCCAATAAAACTGCTTTGAATATATCACAGTGAGTGCCTGAGACTTTTTTCTTTTATATGTAGATTATATAGGGTATGCTGACCCATTCTCAGTTCAGCACCCTGTGTATATGTTTGTGATTGACTCCAACCCTCTTTTTTATTTTTGACCATTATGTTATTAGACTGAAAAACACCATTAAATCATACCATAACACTTGTTCTTGGGACCTAGTATTTTTAAAGCATGCACACTTAACCAGACAAAAGGGGCCTTCCCGTGAGTGTGAAACAATGATTTGCAAGAGAAAGTTTCTTACCGTGCTGCAAATTTTATTTCACAGTCACTGGAGGGTCCACCTTTCTCGAGGTCCGGAGGAGCAGCAGTCGCTAGGACCCGAGTTTCGGCACCAAGTTTTAGGTCACCGAACTTCTGACTTCAGTATGATTTAAGGCTCCAAATCAGCATGCATAGTTTACGAGCTTGGAGAATCAGTCACACAGACACCAAGTTAGTTTACAGATAAAGTATAGTCAGTCTAAAATGATTCCAATTTTAATGCACAAACGGTGCATATTTATACAGTTAAAACAAAGTAGGCACAGTTTTTACATGATACTTTTAACAAGAATCATATGCCTTGCATGCTATCTTTAGGTGTTGTTCCCTGGAACAGTTTCAGTTCTGTATAAGACGATTTAATTGCTACATAAACAAAAACAACTTAACTTAACCGTTAACTAGTAACGATACAAGATGGAGGAGCTATTGCTATACATCATTTATTCTATCACAATAACACACAGACTTTTGGATCCAACTAAAGTCCATGAAGAAGGAGATTTTGCATTCCTTATATGTTGAAAAGGTAGAACTACAACTTTGGCAAACTGTTTTTAGATAAACCTAAAAAAAAAATAAAAGTATTCATTTGGGCTATATCTACTAAACAATGATGTTTATTTTGTATTTGGGCAGTGGATTGTCCCCTGAAATGTTGCTTTCCTAATATATATACTGCACACAACACCTAAAGCTTTATGGTGATTTAGAAAAAGGGCAGTTTTTCTTCTTCTAATTTATTCACTTTTTTCTTCTTAATGTTTTCATATATATATTTTTGTAATTTTTGTTATTTCATCATAATAATTAATAATATACCTATGGCTTCTTTTTCCATTTAACTTCTCTTAAAACAAAGATTGCTTAACTTGAAATCAATATAAAAACATCCACAAATGAACTATTCAACAAAAATAATTTTTGGAACTGTTTATATCCTTTTATTTGTGTTTGTTAAATGCTTTTAGATTTCAATAATTTCAAAATCCTTTTGTACGTTATTCATTATTAGTAGTAGCAGTACTAGTAGTAATATAATCAGTGGTACAATCATGTATATAGAAGTACACATTCTACAACCAAAATAGTAGATTTTGACAGTGCTACTATTAAATTTTTGTTTTTTGTACCTATATTAATCCTGTCTGTTGTGTGTCTCATGACTACATTCTAGCAAAATGTATTGTAAATGTACTGTAAAGTGAATGGAGTAAAATTTGTCAAAATTAATTCTGTTCATGGATTGGTTATTCATGCTAAATTTAGCCATAACAATGTTAAAGGATCACTCAACCACCAGACCTGTTACTCCGGTATGCAATATGTGCATGCAACATGTACCACATGAACTGAGCTCTTGGTCATCCCTGGATGGGGACAGGTCTCCTACGACAATGACTGGATCCAGATTTGTAAGTCTCCTCCTGATGAAGGAGGGTCTGCTTACTACTGTGCAAGTGTCAATAGCATTAATAATATTAAAGGTAAGTCTTTTTTATTTTTTTAAATAATTTTTAATTATTAATTAATGTATTATCTTCATAATGCATTCTGGAAAAGGAGGATTCGTGTTGTAAGCATAATTAGGATTAGAAGATTAGGTGAAATAACATTTTATACAACTACATTGCTTACTTTTAAGGCCTTAATAAACCAGACATGTTCACAATATGTTGACTCATTGCGTATTTTGCTTTCTACCATCTCCAGGTGCTCGATAACAAATCCTGCTTCTCTCAGATCCTTCTTTATGGACTCTTCATCAGATGGTAATATGTGAAATTTGCTCTCGCCTACAGAGTAGAATTTTGCATTGAATACTCCAAATAGCAGCAGATGCCCACCCAGTTTTAGCATGCATGCAATTGTTTTCAGGTTCCTGCCGTAATCGTCATGGTCTTCAGAAACCGCATGCAAGACAAACATACTGAGCACGCAGTCAGCTTTTGGTAAAACAACCGGATCTGTAACATTTTTCTTGGTGAAATCACATTTCAAAATGCATGAAATTTTTCTTCTTAAAGCATTTTCTATTTCATTCCCTTTGAAGCTGAAAAATATTTAATACATATATACAATGGATACAAATACGGCATGTGATCTACAACATTTTGTCCTCATTTGGAATTGTCTATTACAGTTACACAATTTGCTAAATTGTTGAAAGTATTCCCTTACCAATACCTAAAAGGAATGTTTGAAATTCCATGTAAAATATAACTTATATTAAAGGAACACTATAGTCACCTAAATTACTTTAGCTTAATAAAGCAGTTTTAGTGTATAGATCATTCCCCTGCAATTTCACTGCTCAATTCACTGCCATTTAGGAGTTAAATCACTTTGTTTCTGTTTATGCAGCCCTAGCCACACCTCCAATGGCTATGATTGACAGAGCCTGCATGAAAAAAACAACTGGTTTCACTTTCAAACAGATGTAATTTACCTTAAATAACTGTATCTCAATCTCTAAATTGAACTTTAATCACATACAGGAGGCTCTTGCAGGGTCTAGCAAGCTATTAACATAGCAGGGGATAAGAAAATCTTAATTAAACAGAACTTGCAATAAAGAAAGCCTAAATAGGGCTCTCTTTACAGGAAGTGTTTATGGAAGGCTGTGCAAGTCACATGCAGGGAGGTGTGACTAGGCTTCATAAACAAAGGGATTTAACTCCTAAATGACAGAGGATTGAGCAGTGAGGCTGCAGGGGCATGTTCTATACACCAAAACTGCTTCATTAAGCTAAAGTTGTTCAGGTGACTATAGTGTCCATTTAAATACTATGTCAAGGCATGAAACACTAGACGTGCAATGCATGGTATGAAGTCATTTTGCTAAACTATGTTAACTTTTAAAAAAAATAATATTCAAGGCTCTTCCATGGAGCAATTAGGGAAGCACTCCGCCAGGTTTTCTTAAAAAAAAAAATAATAATAATGAAAAAAATAAATATATTACAAGAGGTGAGACCTTTTAACATTTATTTGCTGAGGAGGAGATTAACATTATTATTTTTTCTTTCAATTAATAGTCTTACGAATAGCACCATAACCACTACAATGTGATGTTATAGTTTATGTAAAAACTATCCCAGTCAGTGTTAATATATCCTTGGTATAATAACTACACTTACATAGTTACTGTAAAATTAATCCTAGAACAAGCTTTGTTTAATCTGCCCAACAGATACATAAAAAAGGATCTCATTCATAAAAAAAAAAAAAAAAAAACATGGCCATTGGCTTGATCCTTACCTTGTACCTTGCAATTCTGCCATAATCGAAAAGGCGTGAGTCCAGTCATAGCTTTTGGACTCCTTATTCTTCCATTTCACTAGTTCATTCACACAGAGATCACTAAATTCTAAAATAGTGATGTCTTTGAAATGCTCAAAAATTGGCAACAGGTGATAAATATTCGGGCCAACAGAAAGATCAATCAGACACTCTCCTGTAATTTGACCTGCGGAGAAAAAGACACACCATAAAATAATAAATAAAGCAAAGTAATCCAAAGTGTTTTTTTCTTTATTTACAATCTGGTTATCATCTGGATTAAAATGGAAGAGAGGATTTTTGTACCACATTTTGAATATCAATGAGGATTATTATTAAATAGTTCACATAACTTTAATTCTTCCAATTTTAAACAGACTGAACATCCTGTCATCTGTAGCTTGAGCCTTGGGTCAATATAGGCAAAGTGTATTATTCCCAACAGTCTTAAATTTGAAAGGACCAACTTTTTGGCAAATTAACACTCTAACTCCCTGACAAAAAAACAAACAAACCATAAATTGTTTCTGTTTTTAACAGAAAGGAGAGAGAGAAAAACAGAATAAAAACAAGATACGTTTTTGAAAACGGTTTCTCAACAACTTGGGTGAAAAAAGCTGTCTGCCGCTGCTTGACTACAAATCATATCATGCACGGTGAGATTCTGGCAGGTAGAGTTCAAATATTCATCTCATCTAATCAGATACTGAGGCAATCGGTTGCTACATAGCTCATGGTAACACTGATCAAGCCCAGTAGCTTTATATAGCAAGTAACCATTTTAAAGAATTAAAGAACACGTAACTGTTAATTTATTAAAACGGCACGTGAACAAAACCAGCCCTGAAGTGTTATGCAAACCTCTAAATCTCCGCCTACCGAGTGAGTTTTAGGTAGACAATAAATTTGAAATACTGGAGAATGTGCAATATGTCATTTTTATTTACAATTTTTTTGAGTCAGATGATAAAGAATATATGCAGTAATGTAACATTGACATGTTTTGAACCGTAAACGTTAAAAGGAATTGTTTATTTAAAGGATCACTATAGTGTCAGGAAAACACCCTCCCTCAGGGTCCCCCTCCCGTGGCGCTGAAGGGGTTAAAACCCCTTCAGCCACTTACCTTAAAACCCCTTCAGCCACTTACCTTAATCCAGCGCCGGCGCTGGTGACCTCTCCACCCCGTCTGACATCACAGGAGCTGAATTCGCATGCGCGGCAAGCGCAGCGCGCGCATTCAAGCTGTCAATAGGAAAGCATTTCTCAATGCTTTCCTATGGACACTCTGCACGATGAAAGCGAAATTCGCCTCTAGCGTCGCAGATGCGCCTCTAGTGGCGGTCAGTGAGACAGCCACTAGAGGCTGGATTAACCCCAAGTGTAAACATAGCAGTTTCTCTGAAACTGCTATATTTGCATCTGAAGGGTTAAAACCTGAGGGACATTGCACCCAGACCACTTAATTGAGCTGAAGTGGTCTGGGTGACTATAGTGTCCCTTTAACCTAACAAAGTCAAATAATTAAATTAATACAATGTCAAGTAAGCATAAATTTACAGTTAATTTCTATCAAACCAAAAAATTATTGCCTTCGATACAATCCTTTAGATACAAATATTACAAGGAAGCATTGATTAAAGATAAAGGTGTAGAATATTGCATATTCTATGTTTCTATTGATTATATATGGATGTGTGGATTGACATAAGTAACAGATGGTATAAGTCACAAGGCTTTCTTTGTACGAGAGCTCTGGAATGTGGATTTGGGGGTCTTGTCCTTATATGGCTAGAGTTAAACGCTGACGTTAGTATGAGCACTTCTATATAGTAACAAAGGGACACGAGGTCGCTCTCTCTTGGCTTGCTCTCTCTCGATGTAAAGATGTAAGGATGTAAAGTCCAGCAATTACCATCTGCTGTTGAATGTCCACTATCCGGTAACATCCTTTGTTGTTTTATTATGTATCCGTAACTAAGAATAAACCTGAAGAAACCGTAAGTCAGATTGCGTATTAGTACTTTTCAATAATATAGACATATATTATTGTGGCGAGCATTTGGCCCAAGACTATATATACAAAAGACGTGTAAATATATAGCAATCAACTGAAGACAAGAAGAAATTAAGACGTTTTAACAGTGACGATCGTTCCAATCAGATTTTACGAAAGGGAAGTGTTTATTTATTTTTCATTATATCAGTAGGAAAAGCACATTTTAAAATGTAAACAGTATTAAGGAATTAAACATACCTTGACCTGCCACCTTGTAAAGTTGTTCAATTGGAAATCTTACAACCTCATCCATGATATATTTTTCAACTGTTCCTGAAAAATATGTATTAAACAAATCTTTTGTATCACAGTCATGCACATGATAGCGTTTGTGACACCTGGGATCCATACTGAATAACTGCGGTGTTCTGTCTTGCTAATATCACCAGCAAACTGTTATATACCTATAATGTATTTAAATTAATATAAACAGTTAGTGTATCCTATTTACAAACTGACATGAGACTTATCATAAGTCAGTGTACATCAATATTAACACAAATATATTACAATGTGCTCATGACCTCATGTGATCATATAATTTGTTTTTATATTAATCCTTCAGATAACCTGTTTAGAGAACACTTTAAACATATATAACTACTACAGAATGAAAACGCCAGGGTGCAGAGTGGAACCCAGCGAAACTGAAACCCAAGTTCGAAATCAAACCATTCTAAAATGGTTTGACTATTTACAATGGGGTAGGGGGTGCCAGAGCACTCCTGACACCATAACCACTATAGCATTAATTTGTGTTTGTGGTGCCTTTAATGTTTCTTTAATATTACACTGCTTTCTTAAATGTTTCCATTGTACTCTTACACTAGTATGTAATGATTTAAGTAATTAATTAATGTAGTCTTTTGGAGCCTTATTTATCAAGAATTTCAGATTTATGGAAGACTCAACCTTGCTTTATTGAGGATAGACCTCAAAATCACTGGTCTACCAAGAGCTATCTATTTATGTATCTCCCAGGCGCCCTTGCTGGCTTCCACACTTTTCTCAGGTTCCTGACGTCTCCATGAATTATCTTAATTTTAACCTCCTTACACTCATAATTTATCACAAATATTTCAAGGGCCAATATCGACTCCACATTTCACACAACTGGATTTACCAAATTTAAATGGATGGCATTACTAAACTGAGATACACAACGTATTGAAATATACTTCCACTGGACCATCTTACTACCAGGAAGAGATACCTTCAGCTGAACACCACAAACAAGGTACATTTAAACTAAAAAAAAAAAAGGACTCACCTCCATTTGTAAATTGGGTTTTGCATTTGTTCATCCATTCAGCAATGCTCAGATTTAATTTCTAAACACCAAGAAAACTAATTGATGAAAACTATTTCACTAAAACACATTGGTTTTGAACTCTTGTAATCTGACCCGCATGCATGCTTTTTATCTGTTATCTACAATGCAGCCTGAAGTGTAAAATCTCACACCTCACTCCTGAGTCCTATAGAGCAGGGCAATGTAACAAGCCTGACTGCTAACATCCGGAGGCAAAACTAGAAGCCACGGAGCCCTGGTGCGAAATTTGCCCTCCCCCCTGTACATCTACCCCCCCGCCACCCTCCCCAATATGTCTATTGTCCTCTTCCCATACGTCCCCCCTTCCCCACACATGCAAACAGATACACATGTAGACACACACACATATACAAAGACACACACATACAGGCATACATACAGACACATACATACACATACAGGCACATACATATACACACACATACATACATACATACACACACATACATACAGACACACAGACAGACATACACATACATACAGACACAAACACACACAAACACACACACATACATAAACACAGACAGACACACATACATACATACACACAGACATACACAGATAGACATACACACACACATACATACAGACATACATACACACAGACATACATACATACATACAAACTGACAGACATACACAGACTTAGACAGACACACATACATACATACACACAGACATACACACACAGATAGACATACACACACACATACATACAGACATACATACACACAGACAGACACACATACATACATACATACATACAAACTGACAGACATACACAGACTTAAACAGACACACATACATGCACACAGACAGACAAACATACACACACATACAGAGATTTATACAGACACACATACCTTTCCCTGGGGTCCAGTGGTGGCTCAGCCTGGTGGGAGTCAGAGATACCACTCTGACTCCCTCTCCTTCCTCCCACATGGCTCCTGGTGGTTGCTGCGAGGAAGTGACCGGGGCAGTCACTTCCTCCCAGCCTCTGATGTCATCACAGGGGGGCCTGGCCATGCTCTTAAAGCACTGACTGGGCCCCCTGGTAATACTCTGCCATCGGGTGGCCCTAACAGCATGGACCACCCAGTGGGCCCCTTCAATGTGGCCCCCGGCGGTTCTACTGCATGGACCAGGTCCGCATTACTTAGCCGGCAGGCACCCGGTCGCAGGGGTCCCTGGAGTAGCCACTGCTAACATCCCTACATAAACTAGAAGCTATTTAATCTCCTTCTCTGCTGAGGGAGTCACCTATACTCCCTCATATCTGTATTCCCTAAGACCTCAAAAAGCGGTCACTAAACTCAGTCCATCGCTAGTGGTTACCCTAAAATCACTTGGCATCTTCAAAGGGACTGATAGGGGCTGTCGTGGAAGAAAATAAAAACTTAAAGTTCAATCTCCTGACACTATTACAGCTGCTCCACCACCCTGTCTACCTGCAAGCCCAATTGAAGTGATTCAACCTAGAGGCCACAAAAACCGCACTATCAAATCAAGGAAACCTCTTTGGGTGATCCCCATTAGAAGACACACCGTTTTCAAAGTACAGAGCAAAAACTCAGAATATCAAGACTGTCCTACCTGATCAATAAGAAACAAAACAGCTATTATTGCCAACTTTATTGAAACATGCGAATTAGCGTGCATTACAGAATCATGGCAATATGAAAATGCGGGGCAGCTATTCAAGGCAATTACACGGTGTTCCACTGCCAAGACAAAATTGCAAGGGAGGTGGAGTTATGATCTGTGCAAAATCATGCTTAAATCCCAGACCAATATCAGTCCACAAACCCCAATCCTTTGAATGCGTAGCTGCCAGCCTCTCAATAGATAGAGGATTCCGGGTCTTGTTAATATACAGACCCCCAGGAGATGGGAAGAAATGTCTTAAGGAACTGTCATACCTTTTGGCTGGCTTAATCCTTAAACACCCCAGATGGCTAATATTGGAAGACTTATACTGTATTAAGGAGACTTTAATACAGTGGGACCTCGGTTTACAAATTTAATGCGTTCTCCGGGACGTTTCTAAATGCGTAAACATTTGTAAACCGAAACGCAGTTTTCCATAGGAATGCACTGAAAACCAATTAATCCGTTCTGGAGGTCAGAAAAAAGTCAAAATGAGCTGGCATGGACACCAACCCACAATGCAGAACACGCAATAAAAGGCATGCAAACGACGAAGCTCAGCTCCCAACCATTCTACAGCTTGAGAAATGCACCAAAAAGTCCCAAAACAACTGCAAACAATTTCCAGAATGGCTCCAAAACTCGTTGCAAAAGCCGCTCCAACACCTCCACACTCGATGCTACGTGCTACCCACAGGCTCCAGCATGCAGGGGGCAGTGCTATATAACTCCCAGATGCAATGCATCCTGGGGAAACTTGCTTTGTTTTGGGGAAAAAAATTGTAAACCAAGACATTATTTTCAATGGATTTTCATTTGTAAACCGAAAATAATGTTAACTGAGGCATTTGTAAACCGAGGTCCCACTGTACTTGGACTGATGACATCCTATCCCTGCTTGAGCAGGATCTCCTCAGCTTGATGAGTGCACTTGGCTTGACACAAATCGTCGCCACTTCCACCCACTTACACTTAATCTAGTGTTCCAGTCTGGACTAGAAGTGTCACCAGTAACTGTAAATCCAGTAGTTTGCTCAGACCACCACTCCATTCACTTCTTCATTGTATCACAATCAGCCAGACCTCAGCCTCCGAACCTGGTTTAACATCGCTTATTAAAAGGGATGACGCCATTGGATGTAACATCACATATGGATCTAAGTGACCTAATGGGCACCTGTGAAGACCCCCCGCTCCTTAGTCCGACTCTACAACAAAACGATGAGAGGTACCCTAGAAATCATTGCACCAACACGCATGTGCACTGTCACAACCCATAACAATGCACTGTGGTTTGATAGCACTATCCAAGAAATGAAGCTAACAGGCCATAAACCCGAGAGAAAGTGGCACAGGACACATGATCCAGAGGATAAAGCCGCTCTTACAAAAGATCTAAATGAATATCAATTCTAGATAACTCAGATTTTTTTCTCATTTTTATCGCACAAAATTGCACTCTCCCACAATAGACCTAGGCAACTGTATAACATAGTAGAAAGGCTCTGCAAACCAGCATGCATGCATATCCCCACCAACTTTTCTTAGGATGCGTGTGAAGCACTTGCAATCTTCTTCAGAGACAAGATTTCCTCAATCCGAGCCTCTATCACAACTGGCCAAACAGTTACACACCAGAACCACTACAATGGAATGCCAGATTGTTCCAGTTTATGGTCCACTTTTATGGTCCAAAATTAATTGAAAAAGTAGTGGCAACTCAACTGGAGGCCCATCTATCAAGCTTGAACATCTTTGATCCTTTCCAGTCAGAAGCCACCAGAGTACTGAAACAGCGCTAGTCCGAGTGCTAAATGATCTCCTTATCGTGAGAGACAAAGGTGATTCCACCATCCTAATCATCTTGGATCTCTCAGCAGAGCCTCCAAGTTCCAGGCCAGTTGGATGATAATGGGATTTTTTTGTTGCCCAGGGTCCCCTCACCCATTGTTTGCAGTTTTTGGAGGTGTTAAGAGGGGTTGATAAGGTTAACAAGCACCACACTCCCCATTTGGGTGGTCGGACGTTCGGTAGTTCTTTCGTCAGTCGAATAGACAATGGTGAAATAAGGCATAACTGTACTTGGTCAAACGGATAGGCGAAAAGACACATAAACTTTAAAATTCAGGGACAGAGGGTCTGTCACAGGCTGAATGGACAGAAACACAAGTGATTTAACTCCTATTGCAGAGGCATGATCTATTCACTAAAACGGCTTCATTAAGCTAATGTTGTGTTGATGCCTAAAGTATTTCTTTAAGGCCAAATTGTCTGAACTGGCATCATGCTTAACTTACCGAATTTTTCCAATTCAGCTATTTGTGGCTTTAAATTTGAAATTCTCTTTTAATTCACATTTCTCATTTTAGTGAATAACCCTGAAAATGTTGAGTATAAATTCTAAAGTAATTTTTTCTTTACTTTTATATTGGTCCAAAGTCCTTAAATTGTATTTTAGGTCTGTTCTTAGTTTAAGTCTGTTCTTAGTTTGATAGTTAATTTTTTGTGTAACTGCGTGACAAATAAAATTATATTGTTCTTTTGCTTTGTGTTTTCAAAATATGGAGAGATATTTTTTATGGTATCAGAGTGCCACCTTGTGGAAATAACTGTGACAGCAATGCTTGTTTACTAAACCATGGAATTGTAGAGAAAAATTGCAAAGTTCAAACTAAAATTGGCAAACTGTAACTATAGCTGAGATGATGAATTTCTCCCAAAAAGTTATTTTGTCCTCAACTTTGCAATTTAGTTTACAATTCACTACAATTTGCTGTTTAATGAATGAGACAGAGTGATTTTTTCCCCAGTCATTTCTGTTTGCAATAAACAGGGCCGGATTAACATAGGGGCAGATGGAGCTGCAGCTCCAGGCCCAGGCACATGGAATAGGCCCACTGTTTTTTTTAAAAAAAACACACACTACTTTTAGGGTTGCCAGGTATTTCTCAGAAGTATTTCTTATGGTTGCCAGGTATTCCTCAGGTATTTGAGGCTGCTTAGCTGGTGCAGGTATTTCAGTAATACCAGCAATACAAATGTCTGTCTCAGTATAAACAGAGATTATTTTGCAATACCAGCGTTGGCCAGTAGGGGTCGCTGTTTGTGTGGAGAGAGGCAGGGATAAGAAGTTACAGCATCTCCCTCCCTGCCTCTCTCTACTCACTGATCCATGGGGGAGCAGCACAGAGAGTCCAGACAGCAGTTTCAAGCCTGCGAGACATGGGGACAGTGAGAGACTTGGGGATGCTGAGACATTGGGACACTGTGAGACATAGGGACCCTGAAATACTAGGGACACAGTGGTCCCATGTCTCCCAGTGGCCCCTAGTCTCTCAGTGTCTCCATGTCTCCCAGCCAGTGTCTCTAGTGTCTTAGTGTCCCCGTGTCTCCCAGTGTCCCTGGTGTCTCTCAGTGTCCCCATGTCTCCCAGTGTGCCTGGTGTCTCTGTGTCCCTAGTGTCTGTGTCCCTAGTCTCCCAGAGTGCCCTAGTCTTTCAGTGTCCCCATGTCTGACCCAGTGTCTGTGTCCCCAATGCCTGGTGTACTCACAGTGTCCCAATGTCTCTCAATGTCCCCTAGTGTCCTAGTGACATTGGGACACATGGAGACACATACTCTAAGGGACACTGGGAGACATGGGGATACAAACACTAGGGGACACTGGGAGATATGGGGACACTGAGAGACATGGAGACACAGGGAGATATGGGGCACTCCCAGTGTCCCCATGTCTCCCAGCCAGTATCCCTAGTATCTCAGTATCCCCATGTCTCTCAGTGCCTTTAGTGTCTCAGTGCCCTCAGTGTCTTAGTGTCCTCAGTGTCCCTTAGTCTCTCAGAATCCCTAGTCTCACAGAATCCCCTAGTCTCCCAGTGTTCCCATGTCTCACAGTGCCCCCAAGTGTCTCATTATCCCCTAGTATAAAAGAAAAAAACTCAGGCACACACTGATAGATTTAAGCAGGTTTACTGGACACCGCAATGTTTTTACCTGTACCCAGGTCTTTATCAAGTCTCCAGTGTCCCCTATATATCACAGTGTCCCCTATGTATCGCAGTGTCTCAGTGGCCCATGTCTCCCAGTGTACCCTCATGTCTCAAAGTCACTCAGTGTCCCCATGTCTCCCAATGTCCCCAAGAGTCTCAGTGTCCCTAGGTCTTCCAGAGTTCCCTAGAATCCCAGTGTCCCCATGTCTCCCAGTGTCCCAATGTCTCTCAATGTCCCGTAGTGTCCTAGTGACATGGGAACACTGGGAGACATGGGGACTCAGACACTAAGGGACTGGGAGACACAGACATGCCCCAGTTTTGTGTATGTTTGCCCCTTTCTGCAGTTCTTGCAGATTGTGATTTGTGATTTGTGTCAGTGGCCCACCCTTTTACCCCATCCATAGACTACTTAGTTTACTGGACACTGCTGTTAGGGGGTATGCGTTTACTTGAAAGATGAAAGCGTGAGATTAGCATAGGGTATGTGTTTTCTAATAGCTGCATCTTATGAATTTCCCTCCAGCACCATCTCCATCAGATACATGACGCTTAGGAGGTAGGACAGTTTTAGTGTTTTTGGTCAATAAGATTTTGTAATTAGGTCCATCATAATTGTCAGCACCAGGCCCACTGGCCATAAATGGTATGTCATTAGTGATGTCCCGAACGGTTCGCCGAACGGTTCGCCACGGACGGCAAACATATGACCCTGTACCTCACAGTCAGCAGACACATTCCAGCCAATCAGCAGCAGACCCTCCCTCCCAGACCCTCCCACCTCCTGGACAGCTCACTAAGAATGAAGCTTCAAAATGCATGTCTGGGAATTAAAAGCAGTCCTGGAAAAAAAATATTTACCAGCCCCATAATGCATCGCGCCCGCATAGTGTGCAGATACAGAGTTAGAAAAGATAACTTAAAATTAAAAAGTACTTCAACGTAAAAAGCGCACTCATAGGCTTCAAAATAAATAAAAGTGCAGATTTATTTAAGCAGACGTGCCTTTGCATGTAATCAATGTTTCAGTCCAACTACCTTGACATATTAAGGAAAGCTTGTTAATGGGACTGAAATGGTGAATGTATGTAGGGCACAACTGTAAAAAAAAATTATTTTGAAGTCCTGTGGGTGTGCTCTTCACTTTAAATATGTTATTGTGCTGGAGTATGCACCTAGCAACAAGACTGGGCCAATATCTGCTCATTACACATGGTACATATTAATGACATTTCTCTGTGTATTATGCATATATAAATGTACATTAATATGTGTAACTATAATAGATATATATATATATATATATATATATATATATATATATATAACTAATATACACATTAGTATACATGTCATATACCAGTGACGGATCCAGAGCCTGAGCCCGGGAGGGGCACTTGTAGATTATTTAAAGAAATATTCCATGCACAATAACCACTACTCCTCTGGAGTCTGCTGGGATATGGGGCTGTAGTAGGGTATAGGAGCAGCGGTGCAATGTGTGAGGGGTGCAATGTGTGTGAAAGGTTCAGTGTGTGGGTGTGGGAGGCAGTGTGTGAATGTGTATGGTGTGTGTGGGAGCAGTGTGTGAATGTGTATGGTGTGTGTGTGTGTGTGTGTGGGCAGTGTGTGTATGGGGCTAGCGTTCACTCCTACTACTGCGACCACCAGGAAGTGGTGAGAGTGAACTCTAGCCCGTAGCTCCAGGGCTAGAGTTCACCCTTGTAACGGAGCTCCCTGTACTCCGACCGAGTACCCTCCGTTGATGGATGCTCCTAGCGCTTCCTGAGGACTCCAAGCACTGCAGCAGACACCACAACCACCGCTGACTCCGCAACCGCCGTATCTTGACTGGAGTCTCGCCGTCTTCCTTCCACCCTGGATCAGCTTCTGTTCTCCAGGACTGTGCCTTCCACCCTGTATGAACCTCCAGCATCCAGGACTGTGTGGTGAAGACCCCTCCTCCAAGGAGAGCGTGTCGGGAACAAGCTCTTAAAAGAGTTAAGTGACTCAAGCTCAGGGGAGCATGCAGAGCATAGCAATCCCCAGTGTGATTATAACAGCTCCCTCCAATAACGAGACAAGGCTACGTTTAGAGGGATCAAGAAGAACTATCAAAACCTTTATTCCCTTGGGACCAGCCAATACAGTCACCACAATAACATTGTTGTGAAACCTCAATAAAATCACAAACAGTCAAACCATATCAAGAAACACACAGTGACTTATCACAACACAATGGCACATTTTAAAGGGGTGGGGGGAGACAATCTTTAACAGTAAATATCTCACCTGCCTGCAGAATTAGCAATATGCAAATCTACCCGAATATGCAAATGAACCAGTCTTGCAATTCAGGTAGTGCATATTGCTGTTGCTACCAACAGAGGGCACTAAACCAGCTCCATAGCCAAACCCACCTAGTTGGTAGCAAACCTCAGTAATACAAGAGAGCAGGCAATACATTACACAGTACACACACACACACTATAAACAATTACATTACACACACCCTGCACCTATAATGGGTACAGGGTGACTAAAACATAGGATAAATAAAGCAGCCCACATAAATAGTCTGTCTAAAGGTAGACTAGGGGCTTTAAAGCCAGATAGATGAAAGAGTCATAGTCACAGGGGAGGAGGCTGGCAAGTAGGCCTCTCCAGGACCAAGTGGCGAAGGGCACTTCGTCACATATCTCCCCTTCGGGAGGAAGACTAACCAGGCACCTGACTTTCTGTCGGTCAGTGCCTAAGTTAGTCGAGTCACCCACCGACCATAAGCAAGTGCCAGAGTATCCCACCCACAACAAACAGTTATTAGAGCAGCCCACCCACAGCAAACAGTGACTGCACCTGGGTATTCCTCTGGGGTGATGGGGCAACACACTGTGGGGACTTGAGGGGCAGAGGCCAGCGGCGCTCTGCCCTGATGCCAGCTCTTCTGCTGGTATAGCCTGTAGGACATCAGGCTCTGGACAAGGGACAAAGGGAGGGCAGAGGCCGACTGCACTCTGCCCAGCTGCCAGCTCTTCCGCTGGGGGCTTGGGACATAGTCCGGCTCAGTAGCCAGGGGAACGTGGGGGTCAGTGGGGGTTAACATCTCCCCTGTTAACCCTGGGGCCAAGTTAGGAGTTAGCTGGGGAGGGGAATTCGTATTTACCCCCTCCTCCTGTTGTCCCTGTGAGGGTAGTTGGGGATCTGGACAGGCTGTCCAGCATCCCTGTAGGTCGGGCACAGAGACCACGGTCCCCTCTGCGCCATCTGGGAGATTGGTGTCTCCCCTTGGTAGGGTAAGCTGCCGCTGGGGAGATAGGGTGCTGTGCTCCTCTCCCTGAAACACAGGCTTTCGCTGGAGAGGGAGACCGCCTGTCTCCACTCCCATAACATTGTCCTGCTGCTGGAGAGAGAGACCAACTGTCTCTGCTCCCTGTAGGACACACTGCTGCTGGGGAGGAAGGACGACACATTCGGCTCCCTGTAACTTGCACTGCCGCTGGGGAGGAAGGACGACAC